TCAAATGTTATACTTTTAAGTACACTGATGTTAACATCCGTTAAATATCTTTATCAAGTGACACATGTCACGTTTTGATAATTTTAAGAATTTATTTTAAAAATAAAAAATATTTTTTTGTAAAAAAAACTAACATAGCATCAACCCCACCCCATGCTCTCCTCCTTTCCCTTTCTTCCTTCCAAAAGTCGTGCGGCCGGCCAGTGCTGACTGTCACCGCCATTGTCCTCATCATCAGTGTCGATTCCCGATCAAATACCTATTGGCATTTCGTCGTAATATGTTATTATTTGTCATGGATAATCGTTTAAAGGATCGTTAGATTTTAAATTATTGTCGTCGTTCTTCATCGATTTTAGTTGATTTCGACACCCATAAGCCACACCGCTACCACCATTCGAACCACCATGCTATTCCAATCAAAACCCAGTCGTTTGACGATGATGACGATTGCTGGAGATGACTGATGACCGTTTGGGTTAAGAAATTGAAATTGGAAAAGGGATTTGGATATTGAAGATTTTAGATTTAAGGATTTTGGGTGACAATAAGAATGACAATTGATCAATGAGTGGCTGGTGACGAGTAGGTGACCGTTCGGTGACCGTTCGGTGATGACGGTGGTGGCGGTGAAGGTTGGTAATGGGGTTGAAATGAGAGTTTTTTTTTAGATGTTTTATAATTTCATTAAAAAGTTTGTTTTTTATAAATAAATTAATTTTTTTTCTTTTTAAAATTAAAAATAATATTTTTATTATTTAAAAAAATAAACTTTAGGCGCCTAAAAATATACTCGAGAAAACGTTGGACACCTATATTTCTAACAAAAAAATTCTTTAAACATTAAAACATATTTTATATATAGTTTAATCACTTATTTTTGCATTAAGCCTGATATTAAATATGTGAAAGAGACTTCTTCGGCCGGCGGGGTATATATTTGTGTTTAAATAGCTAACCATGGAATATTATTTGTTGTAATCAATGTAAAACAAATGAAATATAAAAGCAATTGAGTAAGACTTGATACCAGTTACATATTTGAAAAAATAAGATGAATTTATTGATGAAATATTATAAATTAAAAGATTTTTTTTTATTTTTATATTTAAATATTAATAGAATAATTATATCATCTTAAATATCTCAAAGTAAAAGATATTATTATCTTTTAAAATTTGAATATTAAAAAGATATTAATATCTTTTTGAATATTTTCAAATTAAAGATATCATTTTTTAGAATTTGAATATTAATGAATAACACTATTAAAATAGTGAATTCTCCTTTAAGAATTATCTAATCTTACAAGTTAACCCATCTTAGAATTTAAAAACATAAATTTTTTAAATATTATTTTTTTCTCATTCTCTAGTTTTCGGAAATAAATAAAGACAAGGGATAATTCTTGATCCCGACAGTTGTGTTTTTTGTACGTTGATCAATTGTGTAACAATGGACTTCAATTATTTTTTGATCTATCGGTCAATCAAATAAAAAAGTATTTTTCTATATATTTTTACTTATTTTAAAAAAAAAATTAATTTATTTTTTCAAGTTTGATTTCGTCTCATTTTTTTATAACAGCATGTTATCATATAAGATTGTTAAATGGGGTTTCAAGTAATATTTTTTCAGCTATATTAGTAATAATTTAGATATGCAAATATTTTATAATTAATTAATTTTAAACTCCACCTTGAAGTTAGCTGGCTATTTGGATCGAATAAGAAATTAATAAAATAAAGAGATATTTGATACGAACTGAAGTATTAAAATGATTTATAGTTCATAATTTAAAAAAATGTAATTATCTAAAATAAATCAAATTCTATTTTTATTTAATTTATTATTGATTTTATAGTATAAAAATATTTTATAAAATATATTAATTATTTATTTGAAAACTTGTTTTTAAAAAAGTTTTTAAAGAAAGTATTTATGACAAATACTTAAAATTTTATAAAATAATATTTAAAAAATCATAAAATAAAATTATTTTATCAAAATTGTTATAAAAATCCAAAACAAAAAACCTTACCAAATCAAAATGCACTGATCTCACCCCACTAGGTGTAATGTCATAGTATCTGATTATAACTTAATTATTATACTAGATCCATAAATTTAAGAATGAAAATCTAAAATTGTAACTTTGATGATTTAAATTAAAAAAAAAACAAATGTTCATAATTATAATTTAAAATTTTCATCCAATTAAGAAGGTCAAAGAGGCCTTTGCCTTTCTGAAATGTGATGATTAGATCTTCAGTGTTGTCGTCCTGTACAATTTCAGAAAATTTTCTACCCCAAGAATAAAAAATGTTATGTCTTTGGAATCCTTCCGACCAATGATTCGTAACAAAAGAATCAAATCATGGTATTGGTAAATGGGATTTTGTGATTTTCTTGTCAAATTCATCCATGAAGTCCCTATATTATATGTAAATTATAAATTTAGTTTTCGTTTTTCAATTTAATCATTTTTAAAGCTCTGCAATTTAGTTCAACTGTCTTAGTATTGTTTGGATTAGAATTTAAAATCAAAATTCAAAAAATAGGGATTAAAATTGATCCAATTAGAGTGCGTGGATTAAATCTATAATTCATACGTAGTATAGGGACTAGTAAAAGAATTTGACCTTATTTTGGGTCATTGTCAATTATTCTTGAACCAATTTAGTAACTGTCCAAACTGTTCAATATACTTTGTTAAAAAGAAAAAACTGTTTGATATACTGATTCATCAAGAAGTTAAAAAAAATTTAATAATCAATTCACCCCATTAAGTTTCTGGAATCAAGTGTTGAGATAGATTTCCAGGAGCAAAGTTCTGAACCTATATATATATATATATATATATATATATATATATATATATATATATTTAAAAAAAAAAGCATGCAGCTCAATGTTTTTCGACCTTTCTGCTGTCTTTTTCTGTTGACAGTAGGCGATGAATAATTTAATACAATAAACTATTAATCCACGTTTTATGTTAAGATTTTAAAGTTCTTCTCTAATTAGTGTTTCTATTCGTTCAGAAAACTGAAGAAAGAAGAAAATAAAGTTGCAGCGCTGAGATGGCTGGAGCAGTAGCAGGTTGTAAGAGTCAGAGATGGTCTCTTCAGGGCATGACAGTTGACAGCTCTTGTGACTGGTGGAACAAGAGGCATAGGGTTCGGCCTCCATCTTCTTCTTCTTCTTCTTCGTTTTTATTTTTTCATAAGCATAATATGAAGCCTCAGTTCATTCTGGTACTAAGAAATATATGAGTTAAAATTATGCGGTCGGTGATTGAACAATGAATTTAATCTTTTGATTGTATAATGTCAGATTTGTTGTGGTGGAAGAGCTGGCAGCACTTGGGGCAGTAGTCCATACGTGTTCCAGGAACCAGACTGAGCTTAATGAGAGGTTGCAGGAATGGCAGACCAAAGGGTTTAAAGTGACTGGTTCTGTCTGTGATCTCTCATCTAGAGATATCAGAGAGAAGCTTATGCAGACTGTCTCCTCTGTTTTCCATGGAAAACTCAACATCCTTGTAAGTGGTTTTAGTTCTAAGAACTTGTTCTTTTAGATCCGATCAAAGGGTTGAGTCGATTCGATTTTAGAGTTTTTAGATAATTTTGGGTTCGAATCATTTCAGGTTTTTGTATTCAAACTGAAAGCACTTAGCTTCTCCTCAGGTGAATAATGCAGGAATTACAAAGCTCAATTCCTTCGAGGAACATAGTCTGGAAGACTACACAACAGTGATGAGTACAAACCTCGACTTGCATATTGTTTCCTAAAAGCATCTGGATATGGAAGCATTGTATTTATCTCCTCTGTAGCTGGTTCATTGGCCCTACCTGGTTTATCTGCCTAGGCTGCATCTAAAGGTTTGTACTTTCCATAGTGGATGTAGTCTACACGTGACCACGAAATTCAACTTGTATAAGTCGAGTTCGAATCTAATCCGACTTGAAACCAACCCGGCCAGTCTAATCGAATAATCTAGGTAGACGTTAGGAAGAATCTTGCAGATTAACCATGGTTTTGTGATTCCAGGAGCTATCAACCAAATAACAAAGAACTTGGCATGCGAGTGGTCAAAGGATAACATTCGGGCCAACACTGTTTCACCATGGGGTGTCAAAACCACGATCGAAAGAGCGGGTAAATTCACCTTCTAATCTATATCTTAATCGAGAATTGTAGACAGACATCTTTTTGATGCCGATTTTGTTTTAATATTTCAGAATCTGAATACAAACGCACATTATCACGAGCAACTCTGCAGGCTCATTGCCGGAACAGCAATGCCGAGAATGGCGGAACCTGAAGAGATATCGTCCTTAGTGGCGTTCCTTTGCCTACCGGCTGCTTCTTACATTACCGGACAAGTTATTTCAGCGGATGGAGGGTACACAGCAGGTGGCTGTTGGCCATTTCAAAATTTCAGCTTTGATGTATTTAGTCATTTCAATTTTAAGTAAGCATTGCCTGTAAGGACATGAACTTTGTCCAGAACCTTTCCTTGCTTGGATTAAAACCTTTTTTTTTAAAAAAAAAAACTTGTTATCGTCATGCACTGAATGGAACTTTCAAGATACTCGTTCATTGGTGTATAAAAATGTACATAAAAGTTGCCCTTGCACGTCCATGCGCATTTACGTAATCGTCAGAGGTTTTGTGCCACCCCTTAAGCTGTTCATGGATCAAGTGTCTATCCCCTGGCCTTGTCCCAGGCGGATCAAGTTAGTTAATTAAGATTCTCTTTAATTCATAACCGTCTAATCAACAAGGGAGGTAATCCCATAATTTTACTTTCGTATTCATTTTTAGACCTCCACTTTATAGTACTATTTTATTTTTTATAATTTCATTAAAAGTAAAAAAACTGTTAAATTAAGCCATTGAAAGTAATTAATACTACTATTCTCAGCTTTAAAAAATATCAGCAGCTACATTGCACATCCAAGAGTACTAAGCATATTGGAGAAACTGCTTCCAAAGAATCTGAACGGTGTTTTTTTTATTGTTCCTCGAAGGAGGCCATCGATAAAATTCCTCCACATCTCTTCGAAAAGGAATAAAAACAGATTTACAGAGACAAGAGGTCCTGGCAATTTACAACTTGTCTGTTGTATGAAAAGATTGGAAGCCTTCTTCATCTTAACCCAGCTAAAGAAATTATTTCGCAGAATCTTCAACAGCAGCCTGAAACTGAACATCGACAATCGGGATCATAAAATGGAACTCGAAGAACTTGTACTAACACAAATCAATTGGAGAAGGGCTGTTGAAGCTTGAAGTCATAAGAGAAGAAATACATCAGAGTTTAGAAATGATAATTGTAACAAATTTTGGGACAAGTAGCTCTCCCAAGTTTTACTACGTCAGTGGTTCAAGAGGTAGGTTAAACTTGGAAGGGTCTGGTCAGACGATCATTTCGCATGGAGACCAAGTATTTTGACTAGACCATGGTGTAAACCAGAGTGATGTATTTGAATTCTAGTCCATAAAATTGTTCTACCACATGCAGGAAGTTGCCAAGTACTATCATCATGTAGAACCCCAGTGGCAGTGACAACCAAAGCATTCAAGAACAGCTAAAGGGGACTCATTGGCGTATCTCTATTCAACTCAATGTTTTGTTCTCCTTTTGCTACCTTGGGACAGGAATGGGGGTTGCTAGAGCCATATTTTCGCCGAGGATGTGCCCAAAGACATCAACAATAGCTAAAGACAAATCATTTTAGTACCCCTTTTCTATTAATCAAGTCACCATTTATCAACTTGTATTTAACCCAAGAAATAGAATACTAGGTTCCATTTCAATCACAGAGTTACTTGGATGGAAAGCAAGCACTAAATGATAGTTAAAGAGCTTCAGCAACTAGTGACATTATTCAGAGGTGTCGTAACATCAAGCATGTCTGGACAAGAGAACATGAATAAATAAGAGAATTTGAAGGAGATGCAAATGCACCATGTTCATATCATGATAATGAACTAAAAAGTCCACAATCATGGAATATATGAGTAACATGTGATGTGAAAATACACAATATTCCCTAATCAATAAAAAGAGGTGAACATGAACAAATTAACAGCTGAAAAGTATAGAAGTAAAACAAGAGTAACAACACTAAACTCTTAATCAAATGAAAATCTTAATAAATATCAAATATAAACTAAGTCAACATAAAAATCGGATGCATACTCACATGATATAGACTGTGAGCTCATAGCTCACTGTAATTGCGCCAAACTGCACGAAACTCCTCACGGAAAGTGTTAAGACGAGCCTTCAGGTTCGGTGTTCTAAAACTTGCATGAAGGAGAACGGCTGAAAGAGAGAGATTTAGGTTTAACAATACCAAGCTTAAGGGTGGAAATGAGAAGAAAAAAAAAAAGACACGAGGTGACTTACCAAGAAGTGCTACAGCAAGTGTCCATATCACAGTCAAGAGACCACAGGATACATACCAAAGGATGAAACTTACTGTAACAACAATGTTAAAATAAGATGTCTAATACTATATTCAGCTGCAAATTGATTAATTCTTTTTTTTTAGAAAGAGCAAATTGATTAATTCTACTTTAATAAGAATGGAACATTTGTTAAACTTATTGATACCAGAAGAGAATATGGCAACAAAAACCCAACGAGGCCGACCACATATGTGAACTATTCTTTTAGTTGATGGACGTCCACGAATAACAGGCCTGGCAATAATGGAACAGTTTATAGTATACTTAATAACCAAAATCAAGAATATATACTCTGGCAGACATTGACAGAAGAAACTAAAACTTACGTAAGGGGAGGCCTCATCTTAGCTGCTAAATGTGGAGAGAATTGCCTCACAGTTCTAATCACCTTCTCACTAAAAGTACCAGCGAAACTAAATGGCAAACAATTATTAGCAACTATTAATGTGAAAAATAAATATAACCATAGCAACCTTCAATACTAGAGCATTAGAGCTCATCCATCCATTTCTAATGTGACATTCAAAATAACAAACACAGTTATTTGAAATTCCGATACTTGTAACATAAATTACCTATCATTCAGAAAAGCGAAGCTTAATGCTGTTAAAATTGCAGCTAAAATGGAAACCGGCCTCCTCAAGAATCCCAAACCTGCAAAATCAAAGAAAATAGAAGGAAAAAGAAAATACATCTAGTAAAAAAACATCAAGCCTGTGTACTTACCAACAACGAGAACAATCAGAATGAAATAATTGGTTCGATAACTGCAAAAAAAACATAAAATCAAGTAAGAAACTAAAAGAACGAAGTATTGGACCTAGGATTCGAAAAACACGTTCCAGATAACAAATTAAAGAATTTTCTTGTGTATGGAACAATTTCATCCGTTTTCTCGGAGACCAAACAGCACCGATCAAATATTCAAACTGATTCAAATTTTAAAAAGAGAAATTACTAGTAGAGATTGCATTTAAAGCGGCTTTCCCATTTGACCGATGATCGAGGGACGGTGAATCGGGAGAAGAATTCGGACAGAGGTCGCGGCGGTGATGACCAGTCAACTTCACGAAGCGCGTCGATCAGATCCTCCGCTGTAACGTTTCCCCAATCCATTGAATTAGATAATGTTCGCTCCTCTTTGTAAAGCAAGAAATTTCTAAAAAAAATAGAGCGGAAAAGGAATTTTACGAACAAGTGAAACCGAGGGAAACTAAATCGAGATTGATCGCGTGGGTTGTTTTTGGTGGGAGCCTATCGAGTTTTTGTGGCAAGAGATTTTGTTTCCGGAATAAACTGCAAAAATGGTATTATTTCCTTAAATATTTTTTTATTAAAATCTATAAAAATAATTTTTATTAAGTTAAGATGATTATAAATTAATATATTTGACAATGAACGTTTAATTATATATGTTAAAGTTATTGGTGTTTGAACTCATGACATCTAAGAACAATAATAATTTTTTAACCACTAAGATAATTAGTTTATATAATCATTTTTTAATTATAAGATGTTTTATTGAGTCTTTAATTATTAAAAATTATAAAATAATATATGATTATCCATATATTCTAAAATCAATTTTTATCTATAAACTAAGAATGAATTGGACATTAAATTATTAACTGAAATAAGATAAAGATTTAATATAAAAATAGATGTCTAAACTATATCATTTTTTTTTCTAAAGTGTCTAAATTTTTTTCTTATTAATCAAAATACCTAATATTACTAACGTGTCATTACTTTAGGTGTATAAGTCGTAATGGTTTTTAAAAAACTCTGTTAAATAACATGTGTCGTATTATGATAATTTTAAAAATTTTATTTTAAAAGAAAAACTAAATATAATTATTATATTTAAAAAAATATTTTTAGAAAATTCCCTCTGCCTGTTCCCTCCTCCAATCCTCCTTCCTTTCCATCCCTTACCATCCATAGTTGTCGCCACCATCACTATCGTCAGTCGCCAACTACTACCATCATCGTAGATTATATACATCAAATACTCTCACATAATGCATCCCAAAAAAACTCTCACATATTCGCACATCATTTCTTTAAAATTATTCCATTGGGGTGCTCAGATAACTCATAGCAGATGAAGGCATGAAGCTATCTAGGGAAGATTTGGGATCACTTACTCATAAATCAAAGAAAATAAAACATTCAAACATAGTAGACGAAGTTAAATCCTAAATCTTGATTTCAATTTTGCACAAAGTTATACCCATTTTTCATCTTTGCACAAGGCGAGATTTAGCGATGGAAGTTTTAATGCATTTCACCGCATCATTTTATTGATCGATTATCGTCGTCGAAACTCACCCATCAGTTGTTAGATTTCGCTGTCGACCACTCCTTTGCCACCGGCCATCCCTTTCTCCTGAGCTCCATTGAGTTTCCCGACAGATCAAGAACATTTAACGTCGATACCTCTAGGATTTCCCGAGGAACTTGACCGGAGAGGGGGAGGGGTAGATGAAGGGCGGGGGGGGGGGGGATTTTTTAAAATATAATTTTTTATTTTCAAAGTTTTTTTAAATTTTTTTAAAAATTATCAGAGTACGATACGTGTCACCTAATATGATTTTTTAACAAGAATTATGGTTGACGCACTTAAATAGTAAATTTTGTAAAGATATTTACATAGATTGTCCTGAAAATAATTTAGACACCTAAATGAAAAAAGATACAGTTTAGACATTTATTTTTATATTAAGCCTAAAATAAAATATAATTAATGTATAATCATAATTAGTTACACTTTAATTATAATCAATTTAATGAGACCATAATTGTAATTATAAACTTAAATATAACCCATGTATAATTATGATCAATTACACTTTATTTTTTTAATAGAAAATGTTAATGTTATAAAAATGAGAAAATATCTAAAATCACAATAAGAGTTCACAATTAACATTGTAAATTAAATACATAGTTTGAACATTTTTCTATAACATTAGAATAATAAATTAACCACTTTAGATCATACAAAAATCATATACGAAAATGTTAAAAACTTAACCAGTAGTTTCCAACAATAAATATATACCAATAAATTTGAGTGCATCGGTAAACAAATCACAAAAGTAGATTAAACTATTGAAAGACCATCGAAAACTATAAATCATAGTCAAGCATCGTGAGAAACTATTCATGAACGTAAAATCACGTATTCAAATTCAATTTGAGGCTCTAGAGCAGGAAATACCAATATAATTATAAATAAGCGTCATCATGATCAATTGTTGCGTCTTCAAATCTAACATTAAAAAAAGATGAAATAAAAAAGAACGACTAAACGATTAGTAAAAAAAAAGATAAAAACTATCACAAAACAGTGAAAATCAACTGTTAATGATCAAAATTGATGTCATCAATGACTAAATAAAATTATATAAAAAATTAATTTAATCTATAGAAATTGCCGCCCGCAAAACCTAAGAAGGAAAAAGAGAGCAGCAGAGGAAACCTAAATAGAGCGGTAGAGGAAACCCTATCAATTACACTTTACTTTAATTAAGAAGTAACTTATTAAATGTGGGCAGCTTACTATCATACCTTCCCTTATCCCATTATATATGGAAAAAATGGGTCAGCTAATAATCTGATTGTATTAGACATGTAATTTTTCTTTTTGCAATTGGAATGTAATATCCCACATCTTTCCAAAAAAAATTCTTCATTGGATTTTTGTTTTTCAAGTCTGACAAAGTATGTTTTTGAATATTTAAGACTTCACTAATTATATACATATAAATTGAATTTGTTACTAATTTAATTTGATATTTTTAAATCAAAATATTATCGGTAAAATTGAAATTTTTATGGTATACTGATAAGACTTTGATAATAGATTAATTATACGATTTTATTAAAATAATTAGATGTTGTTGGATTCTTGATATAAAGTTATGAAAGTGTCTTTGAGAGTTTGGTTATATGTATTTTTCTATAGGAATTGTTATTATGGGAACTAATAGTAAGGACGTTCTTTATCTTTCGATTCGGGTATCAATTACAGAAAATATTTCTCAATGATTTCACACATCGTAGAACTACTTTAACGAGAATTGAGGTTGTCCCCCAGTTATGCTCAGTCGATAAAGAAACAAGATAACATATGATTTAGTTAAAGTCACATGGAATTTGACCATTTGATACTCGTGTCTACCAATCTCCACCTCCAGTTATTGCAAACTCACTGCACGGATTCTCACTTGGAACAATGATCTTTAACTGAACGTTGTTTACCTCATTTTTATAGTAAAAAAGCTTTTATCAACAATATGTTTAGAGATAACAGCTGAAATGCTCAAATCAGATTGAATTCAAATTATTTTATTTAAATTCAATTTAATTAAGTTAAGATCAAATCATATATTAAATCAAATTATTTTCAATTAAAATAAATATAAAATATTAAGTCAATATAAGACCATCAAGACTAAATATATCGATTACCAAATAACGAAAAATATTGTATAATTTATAAAGGCAGAAGAAAAAGTCGCTTTAATATTATCTGGGATGGTAAACGGGTATAATTTCATAGATTCCGCACTTTACCCGTTTCAATTGGGGTGGGGATAGGTACAACTTTAGTAGATAGTGAGTGTGTGTAGATTTTGAAAGTGGTACCCGTCGTGGGTAGTGGGCGAGTGATGGGTTTGAGACTTTACATGTCCTGCATCCGCCCCCTCACATCCGTCCGCCCACTAAATACTCATTAAATCTTGGACCATTATAAATGTAGGTATAATTTTAGGGTTTGTCATTTATGTGTGCTAAAGAATAAAAATATTATGTATTTGTCATTTATGTTTATAGGCTTTAATTATGTCTTTTATTATGGTGTTTATGTACTTTAAAATCTATGCTAACACTTAATTCAGATAATCATTGATTTATTTTATTATGTTTCTTAATGGACGTGTTTGTTTTATGTTTGTTGCTTATGTATAATTTAAGGTTGATGTCAGGAGAGTCTAGCCGGGTACGTCTCTAGTTGAGTAGTGAGTGTGGGGATTAATTTGAGAATGTATCCACGTGAGCAGGTGTAGATTTGAAAAATTTTACCCATCATTGGTGGTGGGCGGGTGGTAGACTTAAAAATATTAAGTGGGTATGGGAATGAGGAGAGGTATCTGTCCCGACCCGCCCGTTTGGCATTTCTAATATTTTCTAACCAATGCTTCGTCGACACGTATTTCAAAAGATCTTGGCAGCTTTTCATTACCTACCCAAAGCTGCTCACTAAACCACCCAGTTAAAAACTGCCACCTCACTGCTCACACCGTATATATAACCGTATTTTACAATCATGCAGTCCATCTAATACCACTCTTATCTGATGGTTTTTACAAAAACAATCAAAAATCAGAAAACGTAATCCTTGATTACGGTAGCTAATGCCAATTAAAATCTCAATAATTAAACTGATAATGGTTATAATAAAAAAAAGAAAAAAAAACTCATTAATCAATAAGATCTCATCTCACCCTCCTCCCTCCCTCTCTTTATCAGATTATTTATCTTTGCACGGCCAATCGGGAAATCCAATTAAAATACGGGTCGGATCATCCGAAGATCCAAATTCCAGTATTCGATACTATTTTCCTTTTTAAAGCTTAAAATTCTGGCGTTGGATCGTAGGGATTTTCTTTGTCTCTTTTTATTCCAGGTTCGTCTGTAATGGATCAAGCAACGAGGAGGGGAAGGGTGGTGGGAAACTATTTTGTGAGCAGGCAAATCGGGTCGGATATCAACGGGTCGACTCAATAAGAAGTTGCAGGATAGTTTGATGTCGGAGATCTTTATTTTGAAGAGAATTAATCATCCTAATATTATTCGACTGCATGATATTATTGAGGTTCGTCTCTTCTTGTTCCTTCTTCTTTTAATTTAATTGTTTCGTTTTACTATTAGTTTTCTAGGAGTTGTTTGAATGCCCAGAAAATAGGGGAAGGAGTGGTGGAATCGGAAACGAAACTATTTGAATTTGTTTTTAGAAGTTGTGCTGTTTAAGGTAGGGAGTGAAATTTGAGGTTCCATTTATTGAGTGAAAGTTCTTTTATGGAAAATGATAAAGGAGGAGAAAATTTGGATATATATATATATATATATATATATATATATATATATTTGTGAAGATATTTTACGGGATTTAAAAGGAGAAGAATCTATTTTTCATTGAAAAACCGTGCTGACTTTCATTGAAAAGGGAGTTATTT